TAATTGATGTGGCAATACCAGGGGATAGTAGAATAAATGACAAAGAATTGGAAAAGATTACAAAGTGTCAAGATCTGAAAATCAAAGTTGAAAAATTATGGCATAAACCGGCTGTGGTGGTCCCAGTGGTTATTGTCACACTGGGTGCCATACCAAAAAACCTTGAACAGCACTTAGAAAATCTGCACATTGACAAAATTTCCATCTGTCAGTTACAAAAGATTGGATCTTTTACAACATCCTAGATACTTGGGAAGAACTGGATGCAAATGAAGGCCAATGGCAGCTAAAGAACTAGCAACTGTGATTTCATGTTGTGTAAATAATAATAATAATTATAATAGCAGATAGAAGTAGAATGACCATGGCAAAAGAAAGCAAAGATAGTACCAATAGTTATAGGTCCCTTGGGTGCAATCCCAAAACATCTGGAGCACCACTTGAACACCATCGGCATTGACAAAATCACCATTGCAAAAGGCAGCTTTACTTGGAACAGCTTATATCCTGTGACGATACCTTTAACAGCATAAAATAACAACATCTGCCTATCCCAGGTCCTTGGGAAGGACTCAATAGGTGGATAAAAAGCCAGATCCAGTGAAAACATCAGGCTCACTGTGCGACTAACCATAATAATAATAGTAGCAATGCAAATCATATTATGAACTTTATAGCCGGATTGTGATATCTGATAATACGATGCAGTGACCTTATTATAGTCTGAGCCAGTGCTCTCAATTCTATATTCCTACAAGGGCTCCAAGCCCAACCCCTTCAACTGATACTAGCACCTTCTAACATAAACAGTGTACTTTATTGTACCCACACAGAGTCTCCTTTCACATCTGGGAAAGGGCAACAAGCTGGTTTGTTATCTGTCTCCTTCCCCTCCAAGGTCATCAAGCAGTTTCAGTACATCTGCTCTAATATACGTTTCAAAACCACAAAGAAAGGGTAAAATATAATTTTTCCCCACAGCACCAAAGGGAATCAGCAGTCAAAGGTCTTCCCAATCTGTTCAAATCAGCAGCTATCACTGAATTCACAGGAATAAGCCACAAAGAGAGAACAGGTTTAGAGCTAGCTATTCAAACAAGGGAAAGCAAATTATTGCATAGGATTTGCACTGTGTGACTTCTTTTCCCTTTCTTCCTTATCCAAACAGAGGCCACAGAAAGAATAGGTTTAGAGCCAGGTATGCAAACAAAATAAAACAAATAAATGTTCAGTTATTGCACAACTTTTATGCTGCTTGAGTTCTTGTCCCTTTCCCAGGCTATGCAAATAGGATTTTGAACAAGTAACAGCTAAAGAAGGTGGTTTTGGTTTTTTTTAAATCCAGAACATAGGTTGCAAACAGAAATAGAAACTGTCTGCAGTTCAAACCCCAAATGTTTCAAGCCATGGCCATCTCTGCTCCAGATGCGGGGCGTTGGGTTTTAAAACAGAACCAGGTGAGGAAGGATAAAGGACAAAGGGGTGACTCACAGCAACCTCCCATATTTGAGGAGAAAAGGGCCTTCTCTCCTGCCCTCCTTGGGGGTTCCGTTGGGGAAAAGAAGAGAGGAGGCCTTCTCCATCGTGGTGGGACTTGGGGAATACTTGACCACCAGGTTCCTCAGCTCTTAGCATCGCCAGCTTTTAAGAAAGCTCGAAAGCTCCATTTCTTTTCTCCACTTTTCCACTGCACGAATCTGATCCCACCGGTTTTCAGATCGACCTCAGTATACTGGGGATAAAAGGAGAGACTACAGCTCTCAAGAGAAAAGTCAGGATATTAACACGTGATGAATAAAGTACAACACAGCAAAAGTTCTTTTTCGCTTTCACTTTCGAAATAACGGGAGGGCTGATCACAAGCCCGTGCGACGTACCATTTCGCAATCGGAATACTTTTTTTCTATTGGCCGAGTCTCCTCGCCTAGCCAATCGCGGGGCTCGCTCTGGCTTCCGCGTGATTCTGACCCCCCCCCCCCCCGCCGCGCCTCATTCTGAGCCCAGGAATTTGAGAGCGCGGAGGGGAGCTCTGCGATCGCAGGTGCGATGGTGCCTCGCCAGGCGCCTCTGTGGGTCCTGGGGGTGGCGGCGGCCGTCCTGTGGGGGAGCTGCTGCGGTGAGTACCTTCGGGGTTCCCAGGGTTTGAAGTGCCTTTTCTGCGGGTGAGAATTCATCTCGGATAGTCTTTCTGAAAGTTGGCAAGTTTAAGGTGTGTGGACTTCAGTTCCCAGCATTCCCCAGCCAGCGCGGGCATCTTAAAGTTGCCAAGGTTGAGGAACCCTGATCTAGGAGGTCTCTCTCCCCCCTCCTGTCGTGGCGCTGGCTCTTTGGAACCTTGTCCCCTGGAGATTACATCTGGCTTTTTGTAATCCCTTCAAGATGTGGTTCTGCCACCGAGCTTGGGGATCCAGATGTGCAGAGCCTGCACAGTGGCGAGGCTGAGTGTTGTTGGTGGTTTCTTATACCTCGGTGGCTGATTGTGTTGTATGGTTTTGATATTGCTTTTTATGCTTTTATATAGTTTTTTCACTGTTGTGTGCTGCCCAGAATAATGTCTTTGAGATGGGCGGCCATGTATATTGAAATAATAAAGAAATCCCCGGGGGATGGAATCTGGATTTACCCCCCTTTCTAGTCTGCTTCCTGAATCTGAATTTTTGCTGATGTCAGTGTTGACCAGTTTGGTTGAGTTTGCCCTTTTAAAACTTCAGACTGGCATGTTCAAATAAGGTTTAGCCAGCAAGGGCCATAGTTCCTGGTTTGCACCAAACCATGGGTTAACCAAATGTAGAACCACAAACTCTCTCTTTTTTCTTTTTTTTAACATTTCAATTAACATTTGAAAATGAAAAGAAAAAGTGTGTTGTTCATCTAGAATTGCCTTGCTTTGTTCACCCATTTTTTCAAAGAGCATTGCCATGATGCTTCCAAATAAATGTTGTACGTCACCCAGAGTCGCTTTGTGTGAGATGGGCGGCTATATAAATATAATAGATAGACAGACAGACAGACAGACAGACAGAATAGCTTGCCTGTGCTGTCTCGATTTTTCTGTCTTTTAAGATCCCCCCCCAAAAAAATCTGTGTGTGTGCAAAGAACGGGACGGTTGCGCTAACTGCTGGAAGTGTATCTCTAGGAGATGTTCTTACTGTTTGAAAATGTATGTATTTATTTATCAAATTTATATGGCCACCCATCTCACAAGAAGTGACTCTGGGTGGTGTACATAAAAAATATATATAAAAACAATAAACATGTCAAACACAGTCATATTAAAAAAAAAAAAGCACACACAAGAGATTTGATCAGCAACAGAGCCACCTCAAGATCTCACCAGTCTTCTGAGACCGCCAGGCCTGATGACCCAGCCATGTCTTGATAAATAAAGATAGAGTTCTTTGATATAGTTTTTAACTTAGTAAATCAGAGGAAGGCTATAAACGTAGGGTACTGGATCTCAGCGAAGCCTTTGACAGGGTGGAAGGAAGTGTCTGGGATGGGCACATCTCTGTTTCGGCCCTGTGCTATTCAACATTTTAATCATGACATAGATGAGACAATTGAAGGGACATGTATAACATTTGCAAATGATACAAAGCTGGGGATAGTAGCTTATACTTTAGATGGAAAAGAGAAAATTCCAAAGATCTCAACAGGTTTAATTAAAAATGAATAGGATGAAATTTAACTTTAGAAATGTAAAGTTCTGCATTTGGGCAGGAACAAGGGAAGGTGCTGACTGCTCATCGGAAGGATTGATAATGAAGCTCAAGCTCAGATACTTTGG